TGGATTAAATACTGAGGTTAATAACAAAACAGAATGCTCATAGAGAAATAAGTACTACAAACAGGGAACACGCCTGTATCTCAGTAAAGCAATCCAAGCAGAGCTAGCACGTCTCAACACGTGCAACTTAGGGCTAGAGCCGAGCTGAACTCGCTGGAGACGGGCGGAGCCGAGCCGAAGGCGCAGGCTGTAGGTGCGGTGCAGAGTCCGAGGGGGCTTTACCTATACTGCTTTGTTCTTTTTGTTTGTAGGACCACTGAGCATACTCCGTGGAAGTACTTATTTCTCTATGAGGCAACCTCTACCACTACTTTGCTGACACTACTTAGTAGTAAGTTAATCTTCGAACCTGAGGTCATACCTATCCTCTTCAAGTCCTTGAAATCGGGTTCTGGTTCTAGGTAAGGTTTGAGTTCGTCTTCCTCATAGCCCAAATTCATCCATTTGTCTTTCATAATTGTCTGCAAAGGATAGAAAAGATGGTACATGAGTTTTAGTATTGTTTCAATTCAATTCAAAAATATTCTAACCATGTAAAGTTTCTATGAATACATTTCACTTTCAATGAATATATTTCATATCTTAAAAGTAAATTAATGGCAAAGCCTTGTGCAGCATTCTTCAAGACAGACAATAATGCTTTGAACATAAATTACGATACACAAATTACGGTACATCAATTACATGAGGGTAAACAAACGCATACGGAACAAACAACCAAAGTCAAAAATGCTAGCTTTAAACAAGACAATTGGTGCGAAACAATCACACAGTACCCTTGGGCAGTGCCACATCAAGACACAAGCTATGCATTTGTCAAGCTGACATCACAGAATTTAAATATGGATAGTTCTTAGTACCTGAGTAGCATTTACCTCTAAGGATGCCCTCTTGGCAGGGTTCAAGACCAGGAACTTTTTCAAGAGGTTCTCACAATCTGTTGACATGTAGAAGGGAATTCGGTACTTCCCTCTAAGTACTCGTTCTCTCAATTCTCTTAGTGTTGTGCCATCAAATGGGAGTGAGCCACTAACAAGGGTGTAAAGGATTACTCCAAGTGACCATACATCAACTTCTGGACCATCATATTTCTTGCCTAAAAATAAAAGATAAAGCAAGAATTAAGAAAAAAATTCACAAAATTGAAATCAAAAACTTTAATTAAACAAACTAAAGTACTTACCCTGAAAGAGTTCTGGTGCAGCATATGGTGGGCTGCCACAAAACGTGTCCAATTTATTACCGGGTGTAAATTCATTGCTAAACCCAAAATCTGCAATTTTGATGTTCATTTCGCTATCAAGAAGTAAATTTTCAGCCTTCAGGTCTCTGTGAATGATCTTTTTCTGATGACAATACTGAACTGCCGAAACAATCTGGTAAAAAAATAATAAAAAATGTGAGCAAATATGATAAGAATTAAAAGTTCAAAAAGGATCTGAACTTGATAAACTCTTACCTGCCGAAATTTAGCTCTTGCTTCTTTTTCCTTCATTCTCCCATGGAGAACTAGATAATCAAACACTTCACCTCCACTAGCATATTCCATCACCAGGTATAGAGTTTTCTCAGTTTCAATAACTTGAAATAGTTTTACTATATTAGGATGGTCTAACATTTTCATTATTCTAACTTCCCTAAAAAGCTAAAAAAGCACAAGATCACAATTAGATGTCTTTCAACTCATTTACCAAACCATTATACTTTCTTTCAATTTTCAGTCACAGGAACACTAGTAACTCTACTCCACACACCTACCTTTTGTAAACTGCCTGGATTTAGTTGTGTCTTGTCTATAATTTTTATTGCTACCTGTGAGCAAATAAAATGCAAGATTAGGAAAATGAATGCCTTCTACACAACACAACACCCATGGATCTTTTTTCGAAACCGGGTCACTCACCTCTTTTCCCGTAGGAATATGCTTGGCCAATTTAACCTTGGCAAAGTTACCCTTGCCGATGGTCTTGAGCAGTCGGTATTTGCCGATGTGTGGCTCATCTGTGCGGCTCCGGGATGAAGGTGTCCGACCACCACCACCCGGGGTGTCCCCGCCCTGACAAAACAAAACGAGACACCACAAAATTAGACAAAGACAATAGAGAATCAAACTTCTGAAAATAGTTTTGCACCGATGTGCTCGCTATTACACCTTACTCGAGGCCCCCCCC